AAAGTAAAATAAAGTAAGTAAGTAAAGAATAACTAAGTAAAGTAAATACTAGTAGTTTATTAATACGTACTACTTTACTTATAATTTTAATTTTTTTTTTTTAAATTCACTAACATTTATATCAAATACCAAGTTAAAAATAAAACTTTTAACAACATCCAAAATACACAGACATTCATACCCAAATAATATTTTTTCTTACACTAACTGCAAAACAAAAACAATTTACCCCCCCAACTAATTCTGTACATACCTAAATGTGTATCTCCATTTGTGGCCACTACTTCAAACACACCGTTATCAATGGTTAGGAGCGAGACATCAAAAGTGCCACCACCCAAATCAAAAACAAGAATATTCTTCTCTCCTTCTTTCTTATCTAAACCATATGCGATAGCAGCAGCCGTTGGCTCGTTGATAATCCTCATTACAGTCATCCCGGAAATAACACCCGCGTCTTTTGTAGCCTGTCTCTGGGCGTCATTGAAGTACGCCGGCACCGTGACAACGGCATGGGTCACCTTTTTACCCAGGTATGCCTCGGCGGTCTCTTTCATTTTTGACAAGACCATAGCAGAAATCTCCTCGGCAGCAAAGACCTTTACTCCTTTAGAAGTGTCAACTTGAATATGAGGTTTATTGTTTTTCTCAATTACCTGAAAATAAATTTAAAAAATATAGATGCATCCCTCATGCGTACAAATAAAATAGAACCAATTATATATTACAATGAGTTTGTTTATACATCTAAATGTTACGTAATCAGGCTCTCAAGATCATGTTAAGTTAAATTATGAAAAAATCCATTTTTTTTTAAATTTACTTTGATCCTTATATAAAAGTTTAAATTAAACTTCTATGAAATGTGTACTAATCTACCGTAACTTATACGAAAGAAAACTAATAACACTGACAAGGTAGGAAATTAACTAGGGGGAAAAAATAATAATTGTATCCTCAAACTATAAGGAAACTAACTAGTTGTCATACAACCACTAAACAAATTCCAGTTAATCTTATGATGACAACTAACCACTAAAACTAACTAGGGGGAAAAAATAATAATAATTGTATCCTCAAACTATAAGGAAACTAACTAGTTCTCATACAACCACTAAACAAATTCCAGTTAATCTTATGATGACAACTAACCACTAAAACTAACTAGGGGAAAAAAATAATAATAATTGTATCCTCAAACTATAAGGAAACTAACTAGTTGTCATACAACCACTAAACAAATTCCAGTTAATCTTATGATGACAACTAACCACGTGGTGATCTTACCTTAAATGGGAAAAGCTTAATGTCTTTCTGTACCATGGTATCACCCCATTCTCGGCCTATCAAACGTTTGGCATCAAATACCGTGTTCTCGGGGTTGGTTGTCAGTTGATTTTTTTGCTGCATCTCCGATGAGCCGTTCACCATCGGGCGTGAAGGCAACGTAAGACGGCGTAATTCTGTTACCCTGATCGTTAGCAATGATTTCAACCCTACCATTCTTAAAAACACCAACACTGTAAAAAAGAGCAGACTTACATTTAGTGTTGCATTGGTTTATTTCTTCTACGTTAAAGACCAAATGTCTCAAGACTGAACTGTCATCAATCGCCAACACATTGTAAAATGTATCAAATATGATGAAAAATTAATAAGTTACTTTATTTTGAAGGAATAATTAAAATAACAAGTTGGAATTTTAAATCTTCAAACTTACATTTTGTACAATACTTCAAGTATTATATTTCTTGCTTTGTTAACAGTACTTCAGTAAACCAGTTCTACCTTCACCAACAAGAAATGTATGATACCCATTTAGTTTCATAGTAAATTTAAGTTATGTAAATTGTTTATTAGGTGTTAAAAAAATTTCATGAACAGAAAGTAAAGAATTTGTCACAACTTTCATGAAAATCAAGATAAGTGCTAAAATCCATCCCTTCCATTGTTCGGATCAAGTTAAGTGCTGGAAAAATGCACATATTAATTAACAAACTTTGTGTATCTCAAGTCACAATTACATGAACAATAGCAGGACTTCAATTTCTTTAAATTAGCACTTATGACAAGAAGATATGCTGTTTCATGCTACAAAATAGCCTATATATGAAGTACCTGAATACACTTTACATAAACATATGGCAAGATTTTTTTTCCTAAAAACTCCATAAAAGTAATTTTTTTTATAACAAAAACTTGTACATGAGACAATTTATTTAGCATTAGAAACATTACTTACCACGAGTAAGTCGTTCCTAAATCAATACCAATAACTGTCCCTACACTGTCCTTTTTAGAATCATCTTCCTTCTTGGCAGTGCACAGAGCACTCACCAGGAGGCACAAAGACACTAATCTTGTGACTAACTTCATTTTCAAACCAAGCCCAATATCTGAAATTAAAGCAATTAAAAATTGCTTTTAATAAAGTGTAAATATAATTTCCTGAAAAAATTGTGGACCTGTAAACTGCATTTCACTGTAGATTGATACTTTAGATTGAAAAGTATCATCTACGCAGTTTTCATCAGACAATTACAAAATAAAGGAGTGGAACAAAAGTTAAATAATGTACAACTAACCAGACATTCCATGGTCAGTTTTTTCCTCATAAGAGCAAAATGATATTCTACATTAGTGACACCCAACTTTTTGTCCCCTTCTAGTTCTACTTCTATGATAGTAGTCAATTATTAAACACACGTAAATACAAAGATTTTTAAATAGACTTCTGTGAGTACCTCAAAGTCATTTCAAATTCAATGCTATAGCAGATTGAAGAAGTCAATTCTAAGTATAAAACTTAATAGTGTAAAATAACACTTTCAATACAAAAACAATGCTAGTGAACAGAGGATACTTCGATTTACTTGTATTTATACAATACAAATTGTAATAAATATAACTGACCGGTTAGACTTAGAATCAATGTTATACTTATACCAAGTTATAGTTACAATACTAATAGAGCAATTTAGCATTTCTAACTATGCACTTTCGGGAATTAATCCTTGAAACTTATTCCTATAAGTATAAGTGGAAAGTGAATAGCAACATAAAGCCCTGCTTAATCAAAAGATTAAATAATAGAACTAACTTTTCTAAGGTCACCTCAAGCCTAGCTTACAACTCATTCATTGTTCATTACGTAAGTCTAAGCTTAGGCTTCTCCATTTTTTACGAATTTTAGTGCTAAGCTATTCATTTGTTTAAATTCAAACAAACTAAGTAATAAGTATTTAAATCTTACCTCTTATGAGGATAACTGTTAAAAACTTCCAAACCAAATCGTTATTACTTCAAGTTAACTGATTAATCTTTCAAACCAATACACACAATAACACTCTTAATTCTATGACTCTCTGGATTATTCTTCAACACGCGACTGAATGGCTGCATATATGTGTTTCAGGAGTAAGTCGTGTCGACATGGGATTGGTCTCTTTACACATTTGTCCATCGTTGATTGGTGAACTTCTTCAACACTTGGATGTCGACGGCTGCGACACGTTGCACTTCGTATAATCTATGTCGAAAAGTGTAATTCCACGTGCACTGACCGTAGAAGTAATAGTTGACGTTCCAAACAGTTAGTGGAAATGAGCTGATAATCTTAATATACTATTATTATTATTAAACAATAAAACCTCAATCATATAGCATCATGTTATAATAAAGTTTTATTTTTAAAAGCTTATTTACAAATTTTATTTAAAAAGTTACAAAATTTCTTACTTTCTGGTTAACACGAAGTGGGAAAAATTGTACCTGAAAAAATAATCTGGTAAGAAGTTTATTTAATCATAATTATAAGCTATGTTTTTCTTTTTATACATTATTAAAAGTTTTTAATTATTTTTATGATATATATATATATTCACAAACGTATAGTAAACCAAAGTAACGCGTTATTTCCCGACCCTCATAGATAGTTCCAATGTTAGATTTAAAGTTTACTATGCATAAACAAATATTATACTAAAAGCTCATTTGTAATAAAGCAATAAAAGACTGGACTTGTATTAACTTTAACCTAATACCTGAAGAAGCAGAGAGCTACACACTTTGGAAATTGAAAGACAGATATGAAAAAGATAGTTTTAAGATCAAATTCGATATACTAAAGGGTTAAACCTAGTTTAGTTTTTACAGTTTAGCACCAGCGCAACTTACGACTTCTTTCTCCTCCAAGTTCTAGTTCATACCGAAACAGTTATTTTTCAAGTAGCTGATATAAATAGTGTCTCGTCTATTAATTACGTTTATCCTATCTCAGTGGGTCTAATAGTGCGAAAGGTATTGTCATCGGCTCTGAACATAGCAGATATAGTGTGGCTTGCATATTATTACACCAATTTTTACTTTCATTTATAAGTTCTTAGAATTCATATATCTGCACAGTTTATTCGTTTTTGTCATTATTTAATCACTTCGGTCTTTTGCATTATCTCATATGCAAGTATAACATTGTTTGGATAAAGATATATATACCAAACTTTTCAGCCGAATTCTCACTACACGGCTATTCTGTTGTTCATGAGTTTGCAAGTTGGGGTTCATTAACCTCTAGACCACCATTTATTATCTAGATGTACTCTTATAATTGTTTTAATGCATTTAATCATTGAAATCTATGCATAACCATATGAAGACTGGAGCTTAAATTTTGAGCTTTACCTGACGTTTGACTCCCTAATTATAATTTCGTAAAACATTTTGTATAAAAAATTATTTTCATATGTTAAACCACATTTCGGGTCTTTAAAATTTGGTGAATTATACAAATATGTATACTATCACATTTCAATATGTAAAATATTTTATTAGCAAGCTTTAAAATGAAATTGTTTCAATGTAGTAAACCAAATATTTGTCTTTAATCATTGTAGTTTACCTCACCCAGAATAATGATCTTAAAAAAAAATATATATATATTGTTTCCTAATTTATTATGGCCAAGTTGTTAGACTATATTAACTGATAATAGTGTATTCACCTGGTTATATGTTAAGGAATCAAGGTAGATACAAATTTACATGGACGGTAGTGTGCAAATATATTTATCAATTTTATGTAAATCATTGCATTAATTTTTGTCATGAACTTTAAGATTAATGAATACTAAAATATAGCCCCCCAGTGGCATAGTGGTATGTCTGTGGACTTACAACGCTAGAAACCGGGTTTCGATACCCGTGGTGGGCAGAGCACAGATAGCCCTTGTGTAGCTTTGTGCATAATTAAAAACAAACAAACTAAAATATAATTAATAAATATTTCCTAGCCATCTCTTAAGCCAATCAAACGATGTGCTTTTTGCTAGTGGCAGCAAATAGTATTTTAGGTTGTAAATATGAGTCTAAAAAAATTATAATGTCACTGTACAAGTTATCAGTTAGATCACATTTGTAGTACTGTATCAGTCTTGGTCTTCTTACCTTAGATAGGACATTCAATTGTTAGAAAGGGTACAGAGTGCTATTTGGCTGATACTTGGGATGTAAAAGTTATCGTACGAGGATAGGTTATATATATATCTCTAAACTTGTTTTGCGCCTGGGAAATACACATCCCAGCCACAGTCAACGGGTTAAGGAAAACTAGGATAACCGTACGTTTCAAAAATATTTAATTATTATGTGTTTTTTTTTTTAATTATGCACAAAGCTACACAAGGACTATCTGTGCTCTGCCCACCACGGGTATCGAAACTCGGTTTCTAGCGTTGTATGTCCGCAGACATACCGCTGTGCCACTGGGGGGCTAGAGTCTGTGTGTGACAGTTTTCAATCTTAAGTGATACAAATTTATTATTGATATTAATTATTTGAATTCAGTGTCTTTGTAAATCTGAATTAATCAAATATATCACCACCTATTAATTAAACCTGTGTGACAGTCTTAAATCGTACTAAAAATTAGTATAACTGTAACGGACACTCTGAGAGTGAAAATATTATCATTAGGCCATTTCAAATTTCTATTGAATTAAAAACTAACAGGTGATAAAAAACAGTTAACATTTTACTTTAATATTTGTTATACAATGTTATTATAAAAAAACATAATTTTCAATGACTACATATTAAAAATTACCTTGTCCTAAGAGAAATAAATTTCCCCAGAGGCACTTTGTAAATCACAAATTTCCCCAGAGGCACTTTGTAAACCATAAATTTCCCCAGAGGCACTTTGTAAACCATAAATTTCCCCAGAGGCACTTTGTAAATCATAAATTTTATTCATAAAAGTTTGGTCAGAGTACAGGATGTTTCAAAAACTGTAATAATGGGGTTTGATATGCTTTATACTATTTTCAATCAAACCTCTCCCTAAATGATACTACTGCAAGCATCATCTATTCTGGACAGTGTCCATTGGCTCTCTCTCACAATGTCCTAAACACTGACACGCATTCTATTAAAATCGTGGACTACATATTGTTGAAAATGGGGAAACTGAAAGAAGTATACTATGGTTTTAAAAACAATTCATCAAAGCCTTTCTGAATAAAACTTGTGATTCCTGATGTTTCTCTGGTAAAAATTTGTTACCCTAGAACAAGTAGTTGTTAAGATATAATCATTTTTAAATATGGGATTTTATTCATACTTTTTATAAGTAATATGTTCCATTAAATCCTCTTATATACTTCACATTAATGAAGTGCTTAAATATCGGTCACAAATTTTCATTACATGAATTAAGAATAAGCATGTTGGTATCAATAATAAAAAAGTACAGTGGAACATATATCAAATAAAATTTTCTATTACCATAACTTACTACGACTTTCTTTGTACATTTCAGGTTAAAAGTAATATAGTAATGTTAATATATTTAAAGAACACCATAAGAAAGAACCACAGGGTTTTGAAGTGATCAGTTTAACTTGATATTTGTTCTTTTTAAATACAATTAAACTCATAATACAATGAGACCCCACATATGTTTGCTGATCAACTACTACGTACAATTCTTCCCTTCTCAAATATTTCCATCGTAATAAGCCACTGAATTACAAAAATTAGGATACAAAAACTGAAAGACTTGTATATACGTTTAAACTGTATGATTATTTATAAATAAATCCTTAAGCAAGTGGTTTAATATCTGTTTTCAAACTTTTAGTTTTCCAGGAATAATTCACGAGTTAGTATTATGGTTGCACACGTATAGTTTATTCTTTTATACAGTGAAAATAACAATAGCATAACATAGCAAAATATTCAAGTTAATTAAATAATGACAATCAAAATTAAATATCAAACTACATGTAGCAAAGTTAGAAATTCAGTTCACAACTGTCACTCAACTAAAAGTCAAATTCTAGAGAAAAGTTACTCTTTACAATTTCAGGGTTAGAATCTGAAGAGGTTTTCTTGTCTTCACTGTATAAACTTACTGACCACTTGTTTGATGTATCTCTGGAAAGCCAATTATTACTTGATGTTGTTACAAAACCAGTGTCTTGATCAAAAGAAAATATATCATCATCATCTTGGTCATCGGACATTAAAAATTTACCCCATTTAGAAGGCTTTATCCGAGTTTTTTTATTCTGTTTGGTATATTCAGAGGTTTTCTTTTCATCCAACTTGAAGTTATTTAAATGAGATACATTGCAAGAGTTGTGAACAGCCTCATCATGACTTCTTGTTACTTTTGAAGTTAGATGCATTTTATCAAAGTGGCCTGAATCATCATTCAAAGAGTCATTATTAAATGTTCTATTCAAGCTAGATGTTTTTTCTAAATAGGATGTGCAGGAAAATGAACATCATCATCTTGAATTAGCGACAACACATTCGTGATTTCACTGCTCGATGTTTTACTTAATTTCATCTTCTTAGCTGGATTAAAAACAGATTCTTCATTCCATCTGTAACAGATGATTTTTATTTTTTAAATTAATGACACTTACTCATAAAAACACTCATACTTATAGTTAATTGGATTGATTATAATAATAAATTGGCAAACAATGATTTATAAACATAATAAGGTGGTTTATTTTGGGGGGAATCATACTATATATTTCAACAGAACATTGGTCTGGCTTCTTCGGGTGTAATATGGTCATCTTATTCTAGTGGTATCTAACTTCTTGTAAACTTTCAACATGTGGATCAAGAACTTCATAAGTTTAGGTAAATTCAAGAAATTATTTACAGTATATTAATATATTACATTGTTAAAACTGATATAAAAAACAGCTGTTTTAGTTACAATTTTCATATTATGTTTTTAGTTTAATCTAAAGAGTGTTTTTCTTACAGCAAAGCTACATTGGGCTATCTGCTTTGCCCACCAAGGGGAATCGAACCCCTGATTTTAGCATTGTAAATCCATAGACTTCCCACCATTCCAGCAGGGGACTTAATGTAAAGAAAAGCGGTTTTAAAAACAATATAGAAGATATCTCTAGCTGTTCAAATTTTAAACTGTAGTCCCAAATATTTAAAGTACATTGGGCTATCTGCTTTGCCCACCAAGGGGAATCAAACCCCTGATTTTAGCATTGTAAATCCATAGACTTCCCACCATTCCAGCAGGGGACTTAATGTAAAGAAAAGCGGTTTTAAATACAATATAGAAGATATCTCTAGCTGTTCAAATTTTAAACTGTAGTCAAATATTTAAAGTTATTTAATTTCTTACAAATAACTACAGTTGAATATAATCATTTGAAAAATTTTGATCTCTATGCTTAATTAGTGGCAAAAGTAAGCAAGAAAACAAAACTGTATGATTGACTTCAATAAAAATATCTTGTGAATTACTGTGAACAGGTTTTTGTACAGTCTTATTGTAGAAAATGACAACAAAGGACAAATGTTCATTTTCTGGGTGGGCATTGTATGCTGGACAGTAATGTTGCCTGTTGCAAGCCCCTAATTTAAAAAGGTAACTGATAATTTTTTATGAAATTACCCCATTCAATGTGGCTGATACATATATTTCACGGTGCACTGGGAAATACACATCCCAGCCACAATCAACGAGTTAAGGAAAACTAGGACAACTATACGTTTCAAAAATATTTCATTATTATGACCATCGTTTTGCCAGTAAAGGCATCATCAGGTACAGATTGAACTAACTTTTAAATGGGCACATGTATGTTAAATCAAAGAACTGGAAGTATCTTTAAGTCTCACCCTGAAAAAAGTGGATAGTAGTTAAAATTAATTTGGTCATTTAAAAGTTTTCTGGGATCTGTTTTTATGCTTCTACTTATTTAAAAATTTTCCAGGTTATTTTAAATGGGCAAAAGTTAAAGTTAAATAAGTTATGGACTAGGAAGATATTTTATACTTTTTAAAATTATTCTAAAGTTAATAAAACTATAAAATTCATTTAGAAAATTAGAAAAAAATCTCCAATTTATGTTTTTTAAAACAGCCAAACATGTACGAGTAGTTTAAATAAATTGAAAACAGTTTAGTCTTTTAATGTTTATACTTAGAAATGTAAAATCAGAATCTATTGGTTCAGAATGACATGGAGGGTGTGGCTACATTTTAGTAAATAGTGTACCAATTTTTAAAAGACTCGATAAAAAAAATAGTGTGAGATCAAGTTTTTTATGTGCCCAGAGTTAACTTAAGATTAACATTTTTGAGTTTATTAACTATATTTACAAGTACATGCAAGTTATCTTAATACCAATAATATCTTTTACCCTTTTTAAAATCAAATATTTATTGATTTTAGATATAATACTTGTAGCCTATGAATGTAACGATAACACAATCAAATGGCTTTGTACATTAACCTAGGTTAACACAACAATCTTTTGCAAAAGTCTTCCTTTACAGCCACGATTTACACAGATTCACCAACTTATGTCTGTCATGTGTATCTCATTCAAAAGGGTACAAGGTCAGTTTTATTACTGAAGAATGTAAAGTTATACATCTGAGGTATAGAAAATAGGAAAGAAATTCCTGCCCGAGAGAACGACTGGTGCTATGAAAGAAAGAAAGGATTCAAGTGTTGTTATTTGTAAAACCCCAAACCCCTCTGTTGTGTTTAAAAAAAACAACTGAGATATCAGTTCTATTTAGAGGAATTTTAAATTTGAAAACAAAGTTTTTATATTTACTTTGGTGATGCCTACTTAGAAAACAGTGTACAGCTTTGGTCCCCTTAATACAGGAAATATATATATATATATAAATATGTTTAGGAAGAGTGGATAACTGGTTTAAATCCTACGAGAATAAACCTAAAGGCTTGTAATTATTTTCTATAAAATAACTAGACATGTTTAAGCTTTGGAAACTTAAGAGCAGATTTCTTCTTTGACAGATTTGTTTTGGTTATAATTATAACCTTGTTGAATTGTTTGTCTGATAAAGTGGTTTGTGTTAAATTATTTTTAAACTTTTGTTGGATATGAAGACTTATATTACTCTTCAACTAAATTTTCTGTCTTTAAACTGTGGATGAGGGGTAATTTCAATGAGTTAAATGCCCCCCCCCTTTTTTTAAAAATTAAATTACCTCTTAGTGATAACATGGCAGCTGTCAGTGTTAATAGCTGATTTTTTTTCTAACAAAACGTCTTTTTTCTGATGCATTACACACTTAAAGGTTTCTGTGTTGTCTCCAACTGAACTGTTTTCTTGGGTACAGTCATCAAGAAACATTGCCCACTTGCTTTTCTGGGACTGGCCACTACAGGAATTGGCCCTAAGCTGTTTTTCATCATGCAATTCAGAGTCCTAAAAGTGTAAAACAAGAGAAAATGTTGTTCTATTTATCAGCTTATTGAAAATAACATCAAAGACCTAATGCAGATGATCATAAGTATGAAGAAATATCATACCAAATAATAATCACGTACTGTTCATTATTCTTAAAAATGTACAATTATAAAAAAAAGAAAAACACTGATCAAAATTGTTGTGTACATGTGACGCAAGTAAAGAAATAGTAAAATGCACAAAACCAATGTTAGAAATCAAAACAAGATAAACATACATATTGCACACCAAAATATTATTCCTACGATTACTGCAAGCACTAGAATAAATGTAAGAACGACTAAAATAAAAAACTAAAGGTTAAATATGTTAAAAGTATTTCTAATCTTTGTTTATCTTGTGTTCTAGCAAGGTTGTCATTACATACAATTAGTATTTTCTATTCATCAAATTGAATTAGATAAATCTGTTGAAAGTGTAACAAACACATAGTATAATAATTAAAGGTGAGTAACAATTTTTACATATAAAAAATAAATGTTTTGCTAGGACTTACGAAGTACTTTCTGATGGTGATTGCCATCTGCATATTTGGACAAAAAAAAAGTGGGTGTGGCCAGGGTTTGCAAAAAAATTTGGGTGATAATTTTTTTTAACAGATAACAGGAATTCTTCCTACTTATATTGCGATGATCGTGAAGGTTGCCATCTTGTTTGATGCAGTAATCCATCATTGATCTTGTGTGGATCAAACAATGAAAATGTTTTAGTATCACTTATAATGGTAATAATGTTATTATTTGAAATATATCTTGATTGGAATTAGAAATAATTATGTAGCCAGTTGGCCAATTTATTTATGTATGTTCTTTGAAGAGGATAAACACATAAACAAAGATCAGAGTCATCCAAATATTCCACTCAATGAGCCTAAATAAGCCTATGTGATGTCTTCTTGTTGAAAACAATTTCTGCACATTTCAAACAGGTATAATTTACAGTAGAGAAAATAACAGATAAAATATAAAGTTTTATGGAAAGAAAACATTTGATATTTATTTAGAAGTTCTCAGAGGTTATGCAAGTCAAACTTGAAAATTTTCAATTGAAGTACTTTTAATCTTAACAAGAAAATCACCTTGCATGTGGAGTAGTCAACACTCTGACTTCATATACTCATGGACAAAGCTTTTGTAAGAATACTTGATTAAAAAATCTTATCTTTTGTGTAAAAGACTCGTATGTTTATGGAAAGTTTCCCAACTTTCATAAAGACACACGTACAGTATTAAAAGTTATAATATGGTTACTTTGTAATTATAAGGTCTGTAACACTGGCTGACCTTGTATGGAAAGAGTTAATACCTTTGGTCAATGCTACAGGAATTGTGATCAGAAGCTTTCCCACAAAACCAAATATTGCTCACACCACTTTATTAAAAGTGAAAAATCTAACTTTAGTTTGTCTTATATTCAAACTTAATAACTATTTCTAAAGCTGTGTTTCGTTAGTAAGTTATCAAACCACTTCCTGGGACATAAAAGAGTGGTAACAAAAATGGGTGTAAAAACTAAGCTTGTTCATTATTAAGTTGAAGGCTACACAATTGGCTATCTGTGCTGTGCCCACCATGAGTATAAAAACCCAGTTTTTAGTGTTATAAGTCTTCATACTTACTGCTGAGTCACTCGGGGACACAAAAACTAAGCATAAATAGCGAGAGAAATGCTTGAAAATTAAGAAATTGATAATATATTCTCAAGAGGTGATAGTTTCTTAGCAAATTTAAAGGTATCTTTGGAATAAGGAGAATTTTTCCTTAATCGACAAGTTTGTTGTTTACGGGCAAAACTTAGCAGAGCAGAGCAGAATTGAAAAGTTGAACATTTGTTTCATTTTTCACTAAATAAATGTTACGAAATAAAACAAAATATTAATGGTAAAATTTTTTTTAAATAGAATAAATAGAGTTATTATTTTTACTTTACCATAAAGCTTAAATTTGTTAACCCTTTCCAGACGGATGACGGTCCATGTCATCACATTTATTGACTCGCATTCAAAATTTTACTTAACTACTATTTCATGGATTTATGTCAATAAGTTTGGTACCAAGCTGTAGATTGTAATTCCAATTTTAGTATTATACATTATTTAATTTCTTAATTTAAGAGTAAATACTAAAAACACAGTTAAACGTTGATTTTTGTGTGTCATATGGTATATTGAATACAGCACTGGTTCATATTAGATGTTTGTGGCATCAAAATACTAAGTATAGTTTCGTACGAATTAGGAACTCAATTTTCTGATATTGATAAGCTATAATATAAAAACCTCATATTTTTTCTATTTGCTGAGATATCACTCGTATACTGAATCAAACGCAGTGGCCCCACTCACCTCTTTCCATTTTTGGAAATGGTTTCTTATATGTACACTTACTTCAATATATGACATGTGAATAACCAATCAAAAGTGCAGAATGTCCCCCTAGTGGCCTTCTCAGTCATTTTAAAGTGTTAGGACATCACCTCGTTCTTCCAAACCAAGATTTAAAGGAGGTAGGTTGTGTCTTTAGTCTGTTCGAAATTTCATATTTTCTTAGACCGAAATACAGCTTAGTAACTAAGTTTGTTAAATTAATAGTGGAATTCTATGGTATCAATATTGTAATTTTTGATTTTTTTGTTATTATTTAATTTCATATCCTCCACATGTGAAATTTTAAAAGGTTTAGCAACCTACATCAAGCAGCAACTGAGTACAATGGTCATAACTAGAAGAGATAATTGTTTTCTTTACTTCTGTATTTACTGTTCTATGTTTTAAGAAAAATATGTTTAATAACTTATTTCTAAATAGAAATAATCTATACACATATACAATGTATAATAATGGAAATGTGACTGTATTTTACAAAATACTAGTCTACTAAAACACAGCCAAGACAGGGCACTTTGTAAAGACTAAAGGTCAGTTTTATGTTATTGAATAAGGTTACATGAGAGTACGTGTACTGCATCATTGTAACTTCTGTATTGTTAGCCAGGCATAGCTGAAAGGTCTATATAAATGTATAATGTTATGAGATTTAAGCTATTTAGTCTAAACATTCATGTTATAATTTATTGTCATTCTAAACGAAATAAAGCATAAATTAAATTGATTTCCTAATTTTTTTATGGTGGTTATAAGATTGGTCAAATCTACCAAACCTCTACAGATATTTGTTATAGAAAATAACAGATAAAATATAAAGTTCTTTCTTAAGAAACATTTAATAACTATCTGGACATTATAAAGAATTTGCTTGTGAAATTTGAAAATTTTCTTTTGCATAAAAGTACTTTTAATCTTAAAATGAAAATTACTTTGCATGTTGCATATGCAACATGCAAAAAAAAAAAAAGGCATGAGAAAAACATTGCTTAACAAACCTTAAGACTTATTAAAAAATTATATTTTGCATATGAAAGCACTGTAATGTTTGTTGATAATATGCCAAATTTGGTGAACATATGCTTACTAATTTAAAAGTTATAGCATGAAAACTATAAACAGCACAAAATGGTTACGAGGTTGGTCTGAGGGACCAAGCCCATGCTGAAAGAGTTAACATATAAAACTGACTTCAAAACTTGTGGCTTAAAGAAACTGAAAGTGATTAAAAAAATATGAAAAGCCAAAGGAAACCCTGTGAAATATCAACGAGAGGAAATCCTCAGTAGCTGCGGGAATTATTTTAGGCAGGATTAGAGTAAATTAATTCAATAGATCTTTATTTTCCTTTTTATTAGCTATATTTTTGTGTGCCAGGATTATAAAGCATAGGTTGCATTACTCGATTCAATTTTATTAATCATCAGGATTTCTACCTGTCTACCCTCAAATAAAAATTCTTTTAGGTACAATTACAGTAAATTAACCTAAGACCTTCGGTGTGATCAGATACATCAATGGGAAGAGTTTGGTCTCCTGAATCCAAAACTAATTAAAGATCATATTGGTCAAGAGATGATAGAGCTACGAGCTAAAAGTTTGTACTTAAAAAAAAAACCCGGAATCATACTACGAGCCGTGGCTAAAAATATAACCTATTACATAAAAATTTCAGAATACTGTTTTTATATAATATCTGTATAAAATTCGAACATTTTTACTGTCCGAACAACTAAAAAATTAAAATCATATTTTATCACCTCAGAGTTAGCTTCTGTAAGGTGAAGAAGTTCCTTAGTTTCCTCTAATAGCTGGCCTTTTAGGGAATTCAGTTTCTGTACGTGCTTGCGACAATCAAATCCACTTCCCTTTCCATACACCTAATATATAATAATGTACAAGTTGATTATCATTTATTAATTTGTTACATGTAGAAAATAAATAGTTTCTGTATGTTAAAAAAATTACTTGATTTTATTAACTCCTACATTCTTACTCCTAAGTCTTTGGAAAGCATTGAAAGAAATTTGTCCTCAATTAAGCAACAACACTAACATTGTTTTTTTTTAAATCAATTATCATATTAAAATATTACTTTAATAAAGTATTCTTATAGTTGTAGCCAACATTCATACTGAATAACAGAATATTGTATAACTTATTAAAGACTCCAACTCTTTAACACTCAATATTTACCAAATGTCAAAGGATATTTTTCCATTAGCCTACCCAACAAACTTCAAATAATTATAAATCATTAAATAACTACTGGTATACAAGTACAAACTCTAAGGAAAAAAAAATATATATAATGTACAAGTAGTAACCCAAAACAACTTAAGATTTTACACTTATTACATACAGTGCTATGCAAAAGTCTTCACCATTCCCACATGCTGGTAATAAATTTTAGGTATTTTCTTGTGAAAGACATAACTCAAATGGCCAAAAATATTTATTATAATAATCTCAGACCAGTTTCTGATCATTACAAAGAACAAAAGGTGCATTGTTACTCACTTTAGTGATATAACACAAAATCTTGAAAACGCGTGTTACAAAAGTCTTCACCACTTTTATAAGGCACTGCATTAAATTACTTAATCGACCTGTATAAGCTATAAGGAATCACGAGCTTCTTGTGTAACCCTATTACTAATATTTATTCAACTGAAAATTGATATTTATGATAGATGTATCCTTACGGCTTATACTTTAATTCTGGGGTTGCCATATTTTGTTTAAGCTATCAAACAACTAAACTTTATTAAATGAACTTAAAAAAAAAACATAGTGAGAAACTTCTATTACTCAGGATATGATATTATGGTCTATCTACTTGCATTTCTTAGCATAAAGTTGCTAATAAAGGACCACATCCTCTGCACTAGATAAAGCACCAGTAGTAGAATCAGATATCATATGTATAAGATACTGTATTTTTTCATGTGATTTAATATAGTTCCCATGCTGCTGCTTTAACTTAGTCTCCCTTTTTTATCAAAATATGCCCATGTAGGACTTTGCTTCCCAACAATAACGTTTCTAGTTATGTGAGCAAAAACATGCTGAACATAGGGAAGTGAATAACTGGAAGAGTCAGTGTCAATATTCTTAAAACATTTGACTTGCACATTTTATATTAAATTTTAAAGGATTAAGCAAAATTTAAAATGTTTGACACTTTGCTAACATTTAAGCTCTAAATGATTAATGCCTTTAGTTAATTTTCTGTTCACATTATTCCATTTAACGTTATGTTTTGGTGCATGATAAAAATTAATTATTAGCTTTCTTGGATTTATCTACCTACCTGTATTTAAAAAAGTATGCCTTCTAAATTTGTAAAAAAAAAAAAAACTGGACAGGACAGCTTTTTTATTCACGAGAAATTACAATGGTCTTAAAAAATGCATGGAAAACAATTGTGATAAGTACATCACACACTGCTGATGCAATTTTTTTTTTTCTCATTTAATTAACTCACGTTTTCTTCCTATATGTAAACATTATAAATTCAAAGGTCAGCTTATTCTGTATTGTTCAACTTGATGAATTTGTTTAAATCATAAAATCTGAATACTTGGTTAAACTGTATTTCAATGCTTAATTTAACAAGCAAATACAAAAGTTTCTATAATTTATGCAACTGATTTCCAAGTATATTTTATGAATTAATTGATTAAATCTTTTTTTCAGTCATCTAACCTGTTTGATAGACTGTTTTTCACCACACATTTTGCAATTCCACTTGAAGGATTTTTTCACAAGATGAACTTGGAAGGTTTCACAATTAAAACATCTTAGAACTTGGAATTCTTGTGGCATTTTCTTTAAAAAAAGAAAAGTGAAAATATGCAAGTGAAAACATGACCACAAATAATAAGTTGATCATATATTTAGTGTGCCATCTGTTTAGCAAAGTGATTTTTAAATCCACAAAGGCAAGGCAGTGCTTCTCAAACTATATTGCTGAACAGATGTAGAAAATTTTATACAGAAATTCCCATTTATATGTATCAACAGATGGAGGTAGAAAGAGTGATAATGTCATAACATACTCATCTGTAAGAATATTAAAATCTGAACATATAACTCAGTATCTAGAAGCTTACGCGAGATGATCATTATGTGACTGTACTACATCTAGGTTGTGCTGTGTTCTATTTCCAAGGGATAATATAGGGCCATTTGATCCATCTAGGCTGTCCCATTTACTATCCACACTACTCCAAACTACATTCAGAAACCCTTTTCCAACCCAGGTTTATAAAATACTCATCTAGTTTCTTCTCTTTCTACAAAACTACAGCACTTATACCACAATTTGAAGTGCCCATTAATTTTCAAGGATGTTGAAAGATCCTCGGAAATAAAAATCCTGCATAAAATAGTCAGAAATCCAAGTATAAAGTGAAAACAACATAAGTAACAATGGCTTACATGTATAAATATGGAGGAATTTCATGTTAATTTATCTAAATCCATTGGTTCAGGACATGGCAGAAAATAATTAAAAAAATCATAATTTAGCTTAATGTTCAAAGAAATTATATGGGGAATGATACAAGGTTTTATGAGCAAGTTTCAACATGTAACACTGTATACAGAAAGTGGCAAGTAGCTTTATGAGCAAAAAACAAAAACGTTGTACATTTCAGGCCACATTACAAGATTCGGTTCTGAGCATCACATTCATATTAAATAAAAACTTGTACTGAATTAAATATGCTTGAAAAGTAGCTATAAAAAAAAAAGATTAAAACATATATATGTATTATTTATATAGTTAACGAATTAACTATACTTTCCTCTTTCAGTATTCATGTTTTCTTTACAGCAAAGTTTGTTTCATAGAGATTAAATTGGCATTCCAGCTCTTGAGGATTCAAAACGTTTACGTTTCTTGTCTTCTGATTAGAATGTGCAAGACATTTTATAAAACCTCAGTTTAATCACTGGTTTCATATAAATGGTTTTCAATTTTCATTAGTAATGTGAAATTCATTACCAAACTGACAATTTATTGTAACTAAGTTTCGAAATAGTGTGGAATAATATAAGTTTCGACAAATAAATATATATTTGGTGACAATAAAATAAACATTGCTGTTCAGCATCAAACAGAAAATGTTTATACACATAAAATACCCATTCTGAATAACAAAACTGTGTCAGAAAAGTACCAATGTCGTATATCTATATAGTATTCAGTAAAGTTTAGTATCTCCAAGAGCCTAGGCCTATTAGAGCCAAGACCCTAGTAGTAGTATAATTTATATTACAAGCGAAAAGTTATTGGTCCGATAACTCGAAACAATTCTGGATTATAACTCTATTCAAACTTATAGAAATTGTAAAATTAACTTCTGTAAGTAAAAAATTTTCTACTATGTAATAACTGATCTACGTCAAAGAAGTCTGGCAGTTATACTTAATTAACTCAGAGTTAGGCGTACACATAAATTAAAATCTCATTGTTACAAAGTCTGCTACACTGAAACTTATTCCCGCCAGAACTTCAGTTCAAAGTTTCTGTGATCGTAACATTGTCCTGCCCTCTACTGAGATCAATGCAACCCGTTTCGATTATTTAATTTTATTATTTATGAAGTTGAATTTTAATCTGTTTTATTAATATTATTACATAAAAAAAAATCCCCTTTGACCGCATAAAAATTAATCTTAATTATTATAGTACTTTATAGATAGATTTTAACTGACTTGTTGGAATTGGAATCCTCATGCTAAATTTATATGTTGAAAAATAGGTTGCACAAAATGATAGGTGATGATTAAAAACAACAACAAGGTAAATATGATAGAGTTCTGGTGCACATGAACTGGACTCCTAGACAATAATAAACTCTACATTAGACCTAAGCTAAGTGTGATCTGAAAAAAAAAAAAAAACTTTTGATAAACAAAGTATTTGTATGACCTAATTATTCCACTGTAGGTTCAGCCAAAACTTAAGGTACAATGCTGAAACTAAACGACAATATGTTTATGATTCCTTAATAATTTTTAGGTCCGGGCGAGGTCTAGAGGTTAGTTCGCTTGGCTAGAACACGCTCCGCAATTTCAGCTTTGAATGCATTATAAGAGTGAATCAATCGCGTTATTCGGTTCAAAGCCAGACAAAGCCCTTCTGGTGAGGGATGCTATTTCAAAACTACTTGCTATCTGGTCAGTAATTTAAAATAATGCATATCATGCAGGCGTATCATAACACAAAAGCAGATACTACTTTTTTATACTAATTGTACTACTACACAAAATTATTTTATATTTAATTACATAATGCGCCTAAGAACACAAAAAGCAAGCAATTTTCTGTAACTATAATAATTTTACTGGCTTTCTAACCATGTAATAAGAACCTTTAAAAATTCAGCTAAATTTGTCTATGTAATTCTCGTGAGAAAATATTTCGAACTGTAGGCGAAATAGATAATTATCTGCACAGAAAACAAAATAATATGTTATTTGATAGATTAAAACTTTGGCTTTCAGTTGGTTAAAATAATATAATGTTAAACGTTAGAAAGAACTATTGGCAATTTATGAAATAGAGGATGCGACAGGTGGGCGTAACATTTATCTCCCGGAATTGTATTTCAAAATGTGGCAAGCCTAACCATGAATGACAGGAATTCATTTTCTATTCTATTGAAAATGTAACTCATCTGTTACATGAGAAGAAGTGAAAGATTTGTGGTATATTTAAGTTAAATAAATACTTTTAATTTTATTTTGAATGCTTACCGGCCTTACCCAATCAAAATCTTTAATGGATTTTTTCACACGTATACTGCAAGAAACAAGTTTCGATACCCGTGGTGGGCAGAGCACAGATAGTTCTTTGGGTAGCTTTGTGCTTAACAACAACAACCCTTTCACTATTATTTATTTTGGCAACTCTTTACTTCAACTTATTTAAATCTCGAACGCTTTTATTTAATTCCTAAAAAGAAGAGATTTTAGATGTACAGCAAGTGAAGAATATATTGATAATATCAACGGAATTCTAACGGTATTCATTACTGTAATACTTAGATAATGACAGAAATTCACTAGGCCAAAATTTAGACGCTTGATCTGCTTTGATAAAATTTCCGAAGTCTTATTTTCCCTATAAATGAATGACGAATAAATTAATTGCATGTTAAATTATTGAAGGTTGCAATATTTAGTTATAGGTAAAATGATTTAGAACAGCTCACAAAAACATAAAAAATCTAAAGATTTTAGACATACGTTACTTGTTAGTTGTAGTTTAAATAAATGAACTAAAAACTAATAAATAGGTTTGTGTGAAAAAAAAAAAAGAGTTAAATGTAATAAACTGGTTAATAAACATTTTTTGCTAAATGCAAAGCTATAACGGACTGAAAGTGGTCCAATGATTAGTGTGCAGGACTATGGAACTGCGAGTCCACAGTTCGATCCCCCTTATCGCGAAAGAAAAAAATTGCTCTTCACACTTTAGAAGCATGAATGCATTATAATTGTAAAAGTCAAATCTCACTATACGATCTGAGTTGGCGGTGCTTTTTGTCTTGTCTATCAGCTGAAAATTAAGGATGACTAATGCAGACAGCTTTTCAGTAGCTTTGGACAGTTATCCAAAAACAAACAAACAAAAGAAAAGCTATACAATGGGCTATCCACAATTGGAATCGACCCTTGGAGTTTAGTATTACAACAGGTTCGTACACAGAATGTTTGAAAAGGGAGTTCTAATTTGTGAGATCAAAAGCCAACATATACTGTACAAAGCACAATCAGCATGTTAAGCATGCTAATACTACGAGGGTCTGGTGGCATTCTCTTCCAGAAAATTTGTAAGAAAAATAGGTGCTATGAGATTAAACCTGGACGCAATTTTGCATGATATATAACTTAAACAGTTGCATGGCTGTTCACATAAAATCCACAAACATCCAATGAAAAGTCAACATATCATTTTGTTGTGACACTGCATGGGGAGCTAGACTTAAATTAGCATAAATATGTATGTTTTATCATAGTAAAGTATTGTACTATCTACATGCATAGTTATTGATTGTTCAATTTCAGAAGAGAGAGGACTAACGAGTAAAATGAATTAAGGAAGATAACTATACTCCCAAAATTCAATCGCATAAAAAAATCATAGGAAATAATTACTAGATTCAGTTCTAGTTTCATAATCGTTTAGAAAACCTTAAATTTGGCATGACTAGCACTTGACCACATAACTGCAAGAATTATACCTCAGAAATAAAAGGTGTATATATGTGTGTGTGTGTGTATATATATATATATAGAAATGACTTAATATATCTTAATTTGAAATGACTGTCCTATTTTATATGAGGAAAGAACAAGACAAGACCATGAATTTTCGTTGTTTATTACAGAGAATAATATAAAATAGTATAACAATATAACACACTTTTAGTTTGTAAAGGTATTTGAACTTTATTGTGCAAAATAAATGAACACCATGAAATCTTCAAAATATTTTTCCTTTCAAAAAAAACTAAAATAGATAAGCACAGTATTTCAAAAATTTTTTAAAGGAGCAAATTTGTGAGTTATTGACAGTATATATACACGGGTGAGAGCAGAAAATTTGCCTGTACTGAAAACCTGAGTATTAACAAACAAACCTTTAACCTCAGACAAAAACATGTGCAAACATCACCAGTTGTGATATAAATCACTGCATAGAATATCAAGTGTTTTAAACAAAGATGACTCAAGTATGAAACTTTGTTTTTTTTCCAAAACTTTTCCGTACTGGCTTTCTGTATCCACTTCAGAACTCCCCCACCCATGAATGCATTCAAGATTAAAACAATCTATTAAATTTTTAGTAGAAGTATTAAAAATATATATATAAAAAAAAGTAGTGAAATAACTTGTTTGAATTCATACAGCCAAATTAATTTTAAAAAGTACAAGTACTGAGGTAACCATATGAAATAAAGAACACACTGTGCCTTAAAGTTAATACTTAAATATGTATGCTTCACTACATTTCTTTTTAGGAAGAGTATCTAGCTATACTATTACATTAATATAAAATGAAAGATTATTTCTTTAATTTTAGTAATGGCATTTCATTCAACACTAAGGCACTAATACTGCTACCTAAAATAAAGTAACAAAATACATAATGTGTTTCAAATTTATCAGAAGCACCACAAATGTCATTTAAATGAAAGTGGGAGAATACTTGGGTCACTTTAAGTTCTTCAATCTTCATGGCTCATGGAAGAAAGCCAGAAATACAAATTGTTAGTACAGTTTGAAAATAGCAACTTTAACTGCAGATGGTGTTTGTTTGCCATTTACAGTTCCCCTTTAGATGGTAGGAAGAATTGTCAACTGATAAAAATAGCCCCACCTGCGAGGCTATTTGGGCTCTACTTACTTTCCCCTTATTTTTGAATACTGGTTACTTCTAAGGGCTGTGTGAATATATCATGATGTTCTAATGTAGATTTTGAAATATATTAGGGTCTATATGGGTCAGCACAATGGAAGCATTTCCCATCTTTCTATGGTACTGCAAGTCAGGAGAGGGGTTCCTGTAGATCTCTGTTTAAACAGGGTTGGTTTGTGATTGGTATTCCTGTTGTTTTTTTATATTTATTTATCTAACAATAAATGGCATTTAGAGATTTTTCAACAAAATTATACACCAAAAGACAAAATTAGGCTATATTCCATCGTCCTTCTGATACAATTATAAATCAAATGATACTTCTGAACTGGGTGAAACTGGCCTTTCCTTTAAATAATGATGGTACTAAGGAAACAGGTGTGTACTGTACACAGATTTATACATTCTTTCATAATCAGAGAACACAATCATTGAAAGAAAGTCACTTGGGTTGGTTAACTTTGCATTTATGAGTGTCTTCTTGACTAGCAAATAATTCTACAATTTAATTTTTAAGTTTGCATAAATAAATTTCTGAATGATTAAGATACCAGTATGGTTAATGATATTTTTAGAACAACAACTGGCCCCCCTCTAACCCCTTGATAGATTGGTAGTACAACTGACTGAAACCTGACATAAAGTCAAAAGGCAGTTTATAAATATGTCAAAACTAGAAATCACTTGAAAATACTGATAAATATGGTGTTCCAGCTGGAGATAGTTCAGAAATGTGAAATACCAAACACGGGTTCTACATTTCCAAAATGTCAACCATGTTAAGGAAGGAGTACTTTATTCAAAGGATAGAATAAACAGTCTTTCCTAAATCTAATTTCTTTTCACAACAAATGCAGTTATGCAAGATTTCTACTTTCATGAATAGAAAATGATAAAAAAATTGAACTTCTGAAAGGCTTCATGGGTTATTGGTCTAAAGTGAATATAAACTATTTATTACTGGCTTACTTAATTATTTATAACTGCCAAATGTGGCTCCTCTAAAATTCAAAACTACTGGCCCAAATAGCCCCCTCATACTCTAACAGTTTTGTGATCAATAAGAGCTCTGAGCACACTTTTGACACTTAAGCGTGTTTTGTTTGTCATTTTAAACTTTCTCTTACAGAAGATCAACAGAAATATAGTTTATAATTTAATACTTGAAAACACTGATAAATAAACTGAGAAGAGCATAGATTAATATCTTGTCTTAATATGTTTAATACTGATATAGTTATGAAAAGTAGATCACTTATAAAAAAACATAATTATAACGTTTAAAATAAAGATGGAATTTGAAAACCTATAAAACTTAAAGAGAAAGGTATAATTTTAAAACACATGGAATACAGATTGAAACATTGAAGTTGCATTCATTAAAACATTATCTTTAAGTAATATGATTTTACTAAATTATGGATAAACAAACAGGAAAGTGAAATCATCAGATCCAAAACATATTATCGTACACCGCCATTTTTTTCAATTACAATTAAACAATCTGTAAATTTCTTTCATCTCTGATAAAAAAAAATCTATAAAGGTATTTCATTTTATACAAAATGATGAATTCATAAACTTTTTTTTTTCAACTACAGATAAATATTTAATAATATTGCACATTGTGTGTCATTTGTACTACAATAAAAAAAAAAGATATAAAAAATAGAATTAACATGATATTTTACTTGTAGATTTTTCTTGTTTAAATGTATATATATTTGAAAAACTAGGACATTTCTAGACAATACCCCACAACTTACACACTGGCTTTAACAACCATTATCATCATAAAAATGTTATACCTGAAACAATATAACCATATATGAGATACATAAAGTATGTTGCTTATACATTTATAACTTGAAGCAGTGACACATGGTTAGTTTTAGATTAAGCTGAGGTGTTCAAGGATGGAAAAGGAAGTTCTGGAGTTGGCTGAAGCCTGTAGAAGTGGAAAAAAAACAAAAAACAAATTTAATAATTTTCTACCACTTCCAGCAAAAAAAAAAAAAAAAGTTATATTCAAGTGATTAAATATTTTGTATTTATATAACTCATCAAATAATATTCTGATACTCCCCCAATCTTACAACTATCACACTTTGGTATTCATAGCTTCATAAAAATAATTTCTTATTAAAAAAAAAAACATGGCTTTGAAAAAAATCTAATAAGTACTAGAGAACTTTAAAAAAAATTGTCTGCAAGGTTTTCTATATCACTGTTAGCTATATTTATGTATTAGGAAGTGCTCCAGTTACTAACATTTTCTGATAAAATAAAATTGAAATAAGCTGTATACAAAAGAGCAGATTTATTGCTTGGAGTTCAAACTCACCAATTTTCTGAGCTGTATACAGTATCCTTCTGTTCCACCACATGAAAGGTGTATGTGGGACGAGAATTAGAAGTCAAATTCCTTTCACTTTTGTGAATCACTGAGCCATGAATCACTACACAAGACCCTTTTGGGGAGGAAAAAATTATTAAGAATACTTAAATGACTCATTTCAAAAAGCACTAACATTTTTAGAATATTTTATATCAAATGCAGATCACTAGTGAGTTACCCAAAAAAGGACAGTGGTTAAAAACCAACTTTTTATTTTCATCAAGAATCACCAGGATGATAGTGTAAGCACAAAGCTACACAGTGGGCTATCCATGCTCTGCCCACCACGGGTATCAAAACCTGGATTCTAGCATTGTAAGTCCGCAGACATACCGCTGTGCCACTGGGAGGCGATAGTGTAAGAGTTTGTTTGTAATTAAGCACAAAGCTACACAGTGGGCTATCCGTGCTCTGCCCACCACGGGTATCGAAACCTGGATTCTAGCATTGTAAGTCCGCTGTGCCACTGGGAGGTGATAGTGTAAGAGAAAAACTTATGAAAGATTTGAAACAATTAATTCGTAGTATTTTAAAATTTCACTGAGTTTAAACAAAGCAGTTTTAAGAAAATTTTAGCAAAAATGTTTCAGTTATTTAAAAGTGTACGAGTTACATTTCAAAATTTTCAGCATTATATTTTTAAGCTATATTTTTCTCTTACTTTCTATTTGTGAATACAAAATGAAGGCACAGTAGACTTCTATCATACAAATTAAATGTGAGTATGAAAAATTCAGAAAATCACTTTAAGCAACTGTTTCTTATCTACTTGTACTTGAAAAAAGGATTCCAATAACCATGAAACATTTACAAAACTATCTAATTAAAATGTTATTGAAATGCTTCTGATGCTTTCGCAGTCTCTAGAGCTGCTATTTTTCAAAATGCACAATTCATAAACAGCTCTGGTGGTATAATTAAATAACAGGGATCTTCTTTGAAGTACAGAGATTAATTAATTTTTAAACACAACTTAACGATTTATAATTATCAAAGTTTGTCTGTTTATTAAAAGACATATGTTAATTCAGTTAATTACAATTTATTGTGGTTTTTCAAATAAATAAATAAAACAGACAAACAACTGTAAATAATTTTCCAAAAGATGTTACACCCTTCAAGTCCTTCTATACTACAACAATGGTTCATATAAATGGGGCTTAATTTCACTTTCTTCCCCTTTAAAAATGCAAAGTAAAGTAACACAAACCTTTTGTAACAGGACAAGGTATGAACTGAGTCTCTTCAAATTCTATTTTTCCTTCCATGATAAGCAATGGGCCTTCCTTTTCAGAGTTTCGTTTAAAACGGCAGTACAAAGGTCCTATTCATAGCAATTATATTTCATTAGTGAAACGTTTTTAATCTGTTACTCAATTTTGAAAAGTAATTATAATTTTCCATTTTGATAAATAGAAAAATAAACTAGTAGAATTCAAATAATTACAAACTTATGCACAAATCATACAAATTAAGATTCTGTTGCCAAATGGTTTGAAAAACTAGACTAATGAGATTGAGCTAATTGTGTATTAATTTAGATACAAAAAAATTATGAACACTGATTTTTGCTACATTTAAGGCAATAAAAAATGTTTTGGGAAAAGAAAAATATAGAAATAGTTTTTGTTTTTTTAGATATATCAAATCAAATGACATATTGTATTACATAATATTATTTGATAAACAGCTATAGATCTTTAACCTACTCTAAAGACAAACTATATCACAGGTTAAAGAAAAAACATAAAACAATGTTTTTAATGCAGAATAAAAAACTTCATTTGGCTGTTGAAGGTAGAGTTGTAACTGGTGATTGTCAACAGCTTTTTACATCACAGATTGTTTACATTCAAGGTAACCTTTGTGAGATCCCGGAATAAACCAGAGACAGCCATTATCTAACGTCACGTCCTCTAGAGGGAACCACAAACCAACAGCTGTTGGAGGACTGGTGTGTAGAAATGTTGAATCTTGATGAGGTGTCACTAAATAAATACATTTCAATTTACCTTTAAGTAAACATATTTAAAACTAAACAATCACAAGCAGTAAGTGGAAAAAAACAAAGTATTTTTGTAATGTTTAATTTATAAACTTAGCTTCTTTAAACGAATTTTAAAGAAAATGTGGCCCGTAATTACCGTTAAAAAATATAGTCTTCAACAATATAAATTTGTTTAAATGTAACAAGTAACCAAAATAACTTCAACTTGTATAATCTACAGAAATACTTTACTATTCATCCTTGTCTTGATTAAGTTTGGTTTGTTTTGAATTTCGTGCAAAATTACACAAGGGCTAGTAAAAGACTAAAGGGAAGGCAGCCAGTTATAACCACCCACTGCCAACTCTTGGGCTACTCTTTTACCAACGAATAGTGGGATTGACCGTCACATTATAACGCCCCCACGGCTGGAAGGGCGAGCACGTTTGGTGGGACGAGGATTTGAACCTGCAACCCTCAGATTGCGAGTCAAGCGCCCTAACCACCTGGCCACACCGGGGCACTGTGCTCTGCCCACCACGGGTATTGAAAACTGGTTTCTAGCAGTATAAGTCTACAGACATATCGCTATGCCACTGGGGGAGGGGGCACCTTGATTAAGTGTATCACAATGTTAATTGATTTACTTAAAAGTTATAATACAATTATAATTGTGATATGAAAATAATAATTCTGTAGAACATTATAATACAATAGGAGATTCAAGTTTTTAATATTATTTATTTATGTTAACAAAATTTCATACAAATTCTCCAAATAAAAAAAACTTTTCTTTTATGACAGTGTTAATGCTCACGATGCTATGATATAAAATGTCTAAATCTTCATGAGATAAGTAAGAACACTTAACATTTAAATATAATTTATTGTATAAAGTTAAAAAGTAAAATATACAATTAAAAACTCTACATGGTTCAGTAGAAACAGTTCCACCACCTTCAGGAGACCAGAAGAAACACAGAAAATTGAATTTTATAATTTTTTTATACCAGCCAGTGCATGTGTGTAAGTTGCATATTATACAGTGCCATCTACAGGATGGATTACCAAAAATTCACTTCTGTGGCACCAGGGTTTAGATCTGTATTCAAAATTATTTTGTGTTTAACAATTTCAAGAGATTCTCTTATGTTTAATTAATTTTTTAGCTTAACTTCTTTGAGTATTTGAACCTTATCCCATTGAATGTAATGCGAAGAGTTTGCCACATGTTCCGCCAAGGCCGAATCACTGGTTTTTAATTTTGCAATGGCATTTTTGTGTTCAATTCAATACTTGAAATTTCTGCTTGTTTGTCCGATATAATTCAAGCCACAACCGCAAGAGATTTTATAAACTCCACATTTATCCTTTTAATTAAATTTTATCTTTAATACCATTAATGATATTCATTAGTTATAATTTATGATTAAAGACTAATAGACAAGTCATGTTTTTAGTGAGCACTTTACCTATTTTTGTGAAAGTGATAGAACATATGGCAAAAATATTCTTTCTTTATTAACCTTACTTATTATCTGTAATTTGGTATATTCTGAAACCTGTAGTTTATTACAGTTTTTTTATAAATCCTATCTATAACACACAGTTCGACACCTCTATCAATAGCTATATATTTCAAATAATTCAGTTCAACCACAAGATCGTCATTATGTGAAGAGACTTTAATGACCCTATGAACAAACAATAAAAAAGAAGACATTTTTTATGACAATGGGTGACACGATCTTGCATGCAGCGGCATGGCAACTGAGAATGGCTTTCTGCATACAGAAGTAGACAGAAATCTACTCTCTCTTTTCAACAAAACATCCAAAAAATTTAAACAGTCCCCTTCTTCCATTTCTAAAGTGAATTATATTGTGGGGCTGATAGAATTAGGATGTTCCTGGAAATTAATTAACATGTCATTGCCATGTAGCCATACCAGAAACGTGTCATCCATATATTTTACTCACAACTCTGGTTTTTTTCACTGATGTTTCTAGTGCCCAAATTTCAACATCAAACATGAAAATTTTTGTTAACATAGGAGATAAAGGTGACTCTATAGATAAGCCTTTATTCTGTTTATAAATTTCATCAATCACCTTAAACTAACTATAATTTACACATACTTTTGTTAAATTTAAAATATCATCTACTTCTAGATGTGGAAAACTTTGCTAGCTAGTAACCTGTTTTCAAAACAACCTAGTACTTCTTCTGTTGATACATTTGTAAACAATAAACTAATCTATTATTTTCTTCTATCTTGATATTTTTAATATTATTAATAAATTCTGACAAAATTTTAACTGTAAGTACATGAGCATTTGTTAAAAAAGAACATTTATCAACAATCGGGCAGAATGGTATCCCAGTTTTATGTACTTACGGTAGGGCTTAAAAACAAGGTAAAGTAAGACAACATAAGATTTCTTTGTTCATTCACTGTTAAGGTCAGCAAGTTTCTGCAACTGTTTTTAATATATTCTGTATTGCATTCGTCCGATCTTTTTTTATTTCCACGTAAGCACCATCATTTTGGTTAAGAGCTGATCTTCTTAGCTTAATGGAAAGCGATTATAGCATTCTCTATTTCTGAGAAGAATTCCACATTAAAATCTCCCATATATTTGTACCCCAACTTTAGAGCATTTTCTATATACAGTTATGATTCTTAATATATTAGTAATAATATCAGTTATTTTATTATTAAGAAAAAAGAGGAACTGCAAGGAAAAGGGGCATATTATCTATTGGAAAAAGTATTGATGAATTGGAAGATTAAGGGTGTAATTACCTTTTAACATATTGTGTGTGTATAAAATGACTGAACATTTGGATAGGTTACTTACCAACACCACCTATTTGAGGATGCTGTAAATAACATAGGAAAGTGTTAAAAATTATATTTTCAAAAATCTCATAAATATTGCTTAAGAGAGCACAAATTTTTACGGTTCTTAAACGAAAATTTAAAACACTGCTAATAACAAAACTGTACAGTTATACCATGAAACTGGATTAAATGTGGGTACATAACGTTCTTAAATTTGATACAGTGTAACATGAGCCAAAAAATAAAAGTATATCATTCTATCAATAACAGCTTACCTTAAAGATGTACATGCTTTGTACAACAATTGGATCTTCATATCCTAGACTAGAAATCAGATCCTGTCAAATATAATTAATATTAATTACATTGAAAGCTTAAATACTTCACAAGCTTAATTGCAATAGTAGCAAGAATATTTACTCTCTAAGCAAGTTTATTAGAAACAAAATTAGTGAAAATGATTATAAAATTCAAGTGAGCACAGGAGTAAAATATAAATAATGTTCAATAAAAATAATTACCTTGACTTTCTGACTAAAAGTAACTTTCTTGAATGCTGGACACAACCAATGAAGAGCTAGAAATTGAACAGTTTTCAACTTGAATTTTAAAAAATGTTTCTCAAATTTTATAACTTATACATTTAACATGCATTCAATTTAAAACTCTTAAGCCTTTCTCATTATTATGAAGTTTTATTTAAATTTTCAAAGTCAAACTTTGTTACATCTAAGCCTTTTCATAAAGAGAGCTGTCCTTAGGAAAGAATGAATATAGACAGATGTACACATACACATATACACTAATAAATATTGTGAAACAATAGCATGCATAAATTTGTAAAAAATATATTAATTTTAACTGAAAATAACTGAATACTTCAATTACAACTTTTCTAGGCTTCAGTAGTAGCAACTTAACAAAATGCAAAAACAATCAATCATAACTGACTGCTGAAAAGAAACAAATAAACCAGTTTGTTATTTCATTTAACAGTAAAATTAGTAGCAAAGTGTTTTTAGTACTGCTTTGATGTATACTTATTATTTCTACACATTTAAACTCATTAGAAATTTACAAAAAGCATACAAGTACTTATTAACATCTACCGCGTACAGAAATAGTTGAAATTTCTATTGAGTACACTGTTTCTTTATCGGTAACACTTGAATGTAAAAAGTATTGACAAAATAAATTAATACTGAAGTTGTAAAGTCACCTGAACGTATTAGGAAATCAAACAAAAACAAATATTTTTCTTAACCTTGACTACAGATTTTAGGATAATTTTGGGTTTAATTTATAGTTAGTATCTATAGGATACAGCTTAATAATCTGGCAGCAAATAAAAACAGTATGGCATTGATTTTTGAGGTGTCAAAAATAGTTTGAACCTGACCTTTAGGAATAAAAAAAAAGAACCAAAAGACTAACTTGTCTGTTCAACATATTCTTAAAATGATTCTACTGCATAGCTACAATAACAATATTACAAAACCAAGAATAATTTTATGTACAACAAAAACTAATGAACATCACATGCCTTAGCAAAAACTAATGAACAACACGTTTTAGCAAAAACTACTGAAGATCACACGTTTTAGCAAAAACTACTGAACAACACACGTTTTAGCAAAAAACTACCGAACAACACACGTTTTAGCAAAACTACCGAACAACACACGTTTTAGCAAAACTACCGAACAACACACGTTGTGGCAAAACTACCGAACAACACACGTTTTGGCAAAACTACCGAACAACACACGTTTTAGCAAAAACTACTGAACAACACACGTTTTAGCAAAAAACTACCAAACATTACACGTTTTAGCAAAAACTACCAAACATTACACGTTTTAGCAAAAACTACTGAACATCACACGTTTTAGCAAAAACTACTGAACAATACACGTTTTAGCAAAAAACTACCAAACATTACACGTTTTAGCAAAAACTACTGAACATCACACGTTTTAGCAAAAACTACTGAACAACACACGTTTTAGCAAAAAACTACCAAACAACACACGTTTTAGCAAAACTACCGAACAACACACGTTTTAGCAAAACTACCGAACATCACACGTTTTAGCAAAAACTACTGAACATCACGTTTTAGCAAAAACTACTGAACATCACACGTTTTAGCAAAAACTACTGAACATCACGTTTTAGCAAAAACTACTGAACATCACATGTTTTAGCTTTACTTCCATTTCTCACATTTCATGTCAAAATTTAATAAAATACTTTTAAATTGCAGGAAGTGGTGGTTATACAAAATAATCAAACATGTATTAAAAATTTTTAAATTTTAAGTCATTTCAAAAGATAAAAAATACCCTTCCCAAAAACTATGCTGAATATTTAATTAACAAAGCCACATTATGTAACTATGATGTAATCCCTACGTATTTTTATGTCAACAATAAAGCTAATATCAGCTGCAAACTTACCATGTCCAATTTTGTTAAGACTTGTGTTCTTTGGTACCACTAATTCACCTAAAATAATAAGATTGCCATAGCAGAAAATGTAAAGCAAAAGTACCTAAAATTAAAACAGAACAAAATGACAATCTTGCCTACATATGTTTAACTACAAAAAACATTATTACCATATTTTTAACCAATCTTAAATGTGTAACAACGACATACACCCAAAAATTCATTACATTTTTCATACCTAGTCAATACTTAGCACTGACAAAATAATTAAACACCTTAAAGGAAGACTCAGTTATCTGTACACACACACACAAAGTTACAATGTACGAGTAACTCACTGAATAAGGTTTATACTCTTGCTAGAAAAATAAACGACAGATTGATCTCACATAACATTAGCACACAATTGAAACAAAGAATTTATCCAGCCATAAGCTTGTTCAACAAAAAAAAGAGATGACCCAAAAAATAATAAGACCAGAGAAAGAATGATCTCCCTTACTTGAATATGACATACTTCATGTTAGTCACACACTTGCAAGACAAACGGAAACTGATCTATCACAGAAAGGCTGATTTCACTTATTTGGACATGAATATACATCACAATAAAATATTTCACCTCATCTGTTCTTCTGCTTGTTAGACAAACAGAAACTGACCTATCACAGAAAGACTGATCTTAAATCTGGATGTGAAAAGATAAAATAAATATGTCTTGTTGTATCTATAATACGCTTACCAGACAAGCAGAATTTAACACACTCACTTAAGCATGGACAGCAAATATGAAATAACACACTGTACATAATTACACGATTGTAAGAAAAAAGAAACTGTTTCAAAATGAGATGCATGACTAAATATCCATATTTTACCAATATGTAAAACTATGTTAGAAAACGAATATGAGATAGAAAGTTTAATGAGTGGCTTAATAAACTGTTCTATTAGAAATACTTTGAATCTGAATGTTGTGTGTCATAAAGTCAGTATATTAAATAGAACATAGAATTAAGGTGAATTTTAGTTTCGTCGCAGATACAAGGATGAGTAGACATTACCATTCATATTCTCGTGCCCTTGAATATAAATAAAATTGCTTTAGACTTTAAGAACTTAAAAGCTTCTGTCTCGTGTAAAATTTATGCAGATATTAACCATGTTTATTCTCTGTGTAAGAATTGTTTCTTTGTTAATTTTTTATAATGTTGTTTTAGATAAATAGTTTCGTGGACACTAAAACAGGTTGCTTATGATTTAATGGTAGAATGATTTGTTTTGTGACAACATATTCATTCATCTTTCAGTAGCACCCAAAAACCACGTGCATAACATTTTTTTGCCTAGTGTTCTCAGTTACGAATTATATTCATCTTGATGTACGTATATGCAGCACACACATTTTACAGGAATCCAGTATTCAAAACTTGAACTAAATCTTTGGGACTTCTTTGACATTTACTACTTTGCTTTTTCTGGAATGACAGAAAGGGGAACCTGTTGTACAAGTGAAAGCATAGAGCTGATCTTGTTTATCATGGCTACACAATATACAGCTGCAATTATTTACAGTAGGTGTGTGACTTGTTGTCAATAAATTTCAACAATAAATGGACAGCACACAATCAACTTATTTAAAATTATATACTTAAAACAAGTAAAACATACATACAAATGTTCATTACGCAGCTGATTTAGTTCACTTACTTTAGAATGCCTTTAACAAGAAAAATTATTCTTCTCTATTCTGTTATTACAATACAATCTGTGAATATTACACTTTAAAAGTTACCAATACACTCTTTATGGCTAAACTTAGAAACAGATCTATTTGACTATATCTCTCACTAGCTTTGCTTTACTTTCACTAACTTACTTTCTTGCACTAACTTGATTGCCTATATATATAAATTGTCTGACTGAGGCCTAGAACTTTCAACAAACTATTATGATGTAACATTACTCAATTCACAAAAACTGTATTAACTGTTTATAAGTAAACCTGTAATAAATTATCACTTCTACAAATACTAAATTTAACACTCGCGCTTTGAAACTATCTAGATCATAACTCTCGGATTAAATTTAAATCAAACAGTCATGTTTATCTAACACAGTAAATGTCAGAGAAGTACCAGGATATATCCCAAACCCTCTGTGAAATTATGTATCCTGCTGAACATATGTTAGTCACATGACTTTGTAATATGGTCTTCACAACATATAACTAAGGCAAGTACATCTGAGTGGGGAGATTTAGTACATGCAGTAAATTCACAGCAAAAAATAATAATAAAAGAAAGCAAAAAGTTTTTCTGTATGAATTACTGTGTTGTATTTAATCGGTATTCATTTTAGTCTTCATTACATGAATTGTTTGCATTTATCTTAACCGTTCAAAATATTTTTGGGGGTTATTTTTTTTATTCTATTTAAATTTTTAACTTTCTCTGATTTTGTTTTGGAGAATATACATAAAAAATCCAATAAAACCCTAAGAAAGTCTTATTGTCCTTCACATTTAATACACAAGCATGCTCAAGATGGGTGATAAAGAAAAAGATTGCTTATGTTACCTAGGAAGTGAAAAACGTATCTACATCCCACATACCTATAGAGGGAAACAGGTGAAAACAATGATGACTAGAACCACTTAGGTATACTCGTGAAATCGATATTTGTGAAAGACTAACTATACCTATTATTTTTACAACTCTTTTCAAATAGTTCACCTTGAATACAAAAAAAATGGAAATATTGACATTTATTTCTGCCTACACATACACATCTATATAAATACATGTAAATTAACATTATAGTAACTTATTAAAAGACATATTTTATTATTTTGTTATCATAATTTAAGAGTTTTATGATTGACACTTTTACATATGCTCATACAAAAAATAAAACCTTCCTATTCTCTCAGGTCAGGAACATGCAACACACACACACAACCTTTTTTACAATACCACAAAACAAACATGAAAAGAAAAAATTACTTATTCTATTCTACCAAAGAAATTACAATTACAGAAAAGAATATTTTAAAAGAAACAGCAAGGCAACAAATAGGCTGATATGTGAAACTTGTTTACGAAATCTGTTTAACACTCAAACAGCGCAGTTAAGGAGAAACTAACAAATATAATATTTCAAATAATTTGAATTCATGTTTTCAAAAGTTACTTAAAGTGAAAATACAAGAATAAACACTCAAACGTTAAGTTTGAAATTACATTTGTATAAATTTTGAATAACACAAATGACATAAAAAGAAAACCAACACTTAATGATACACAATAAATATTTAAAAATGAGACTGTTTGCAGATGGTTTTTTTATCTTTATACAGTAAAGCATTGAGTAAATGTTTTATTGTTTTGAGACTGGCAACAGTCTGATTTTAAATATTTATTGTGTACCATTAAATTTCCTTTTAACATCTGTGTTATATTCTATCATATTGTAAACTAACCTTTACTGTTCAAAGCATCGTCTTCAAAAAAGTATCTTACTTTGTCACCCGAAGTAAGGAAATATTCATCCCTTTTCTGAAAAAAATTAATTAGTTGTTACATTTTCAGTACTAACTTGAGTTTTTCGTTAAAATATCCATTAATTTTTTAACTTAAATTTCAGTTCAATTTAAAATAACTATTTCATTTAAAAAATTATCTGAAAAATTACTTATCTCTGAACATTTTAACTCATTCTTTTCAGTGAATGTTTCACGAAAAAAACTAAATTTCTTACTAATATCATTAACCCCTTTATTGAGAGGCATCAAATCTTAAAGTTTGATGATGGGGATAGTATCCTGTCAAAAAAAGAAAATCATAACAAGATGACACCTAGTGGTAAGCTAGATCAGCACTCATCAGTTAACTCAGGAAGGTTAAGAAAAGAGAATGCTATCCAGTAGATATTTTTATATTTTTTGATGCAGAAGACAGTTGTGTGTTGATTTTGTTTTTCTAGTTTTTTTTTCATAGTCAGACAGTGTTTAGATTTGATACTTAAGTTCAAAAACTATAAAAAAATTCAAGGTAACAAAAAGTTACTGAGCTTAATGATGTCATCCTTAAGGAAGAAATAATAATTCTATTTTTAATCTAAATTAAATAACTTTTTCATCTTTGTACATATCTATTTCCAAAATAACTTAAACTAACTGCATACACTAAATCATCTGATAACTAATTTCATGTGCTATAACAAAATTGAATTCAGTTCTGTTGAAATCTAGAGCTACATTTCCAAAAACTTAAAACCCATTTAGGTATAAATAAAATCTTTTCATACGGTTATGGTAAAAAACATACACTTTGTTGTCTGTTGTAATAAATGTTCCACCACAGGTATTACAAATTCAAAAACTGAAAATGTTCACACAAAATAATGATTGAAACATACTGAATGTTGGTCAGCTTCCGTACTGAATGTGCTGTGGTGTTCAGATGGGTTAATTTTTTCCACAAGGTTCTTACATTCCTCTTTCATAGCCTCAATTTCTTGTTCAGTAAGAAAATTGTGCAAAATCAGGTAACCATTTTCTCTAAACTGAAAGGAGGAAAAAAATTACACTAATATTCATATCCACAAAAAAACATAGACAATAAATTTCTCTCAATACTAAAACGTATTTACAAATTTCATTTGACTTTAAAAAAGTCAGGAATATACATGACATCTTAGCTAATGTAGGGTTACCAGATTTCCATAGTGTAAAACTGGGATTTTTTTTTCCCATATGGAGAGACAAAGTAACAACCTTGAAACCATTTAAATTACACTAACACTATTTTTACATTTGCTAAATAATCTGATGTTTAGTGCATTACATTTTGAAACCACAGATAAAAAAAATTTGTTAAAAGCTTGTATTGTTAAAAAAAAAAAATTAGAAAGTACCCAAGTTGTTCTGAACCTAATAAATACAAAATGTTGCTTCTTTTATCTGACTGGACAGATCTTCAAATCTCAATCCTGCAGCTGCCAAATGATTGGTTAAGAAAATCTAGCAGAGAAGGATGGAACACTGTACCATGTGATATGTTTTTGTCTGGTGATTCACCAAGTAAAATTTTAAAAAGTTGTGTATATTAAAAAAAACTGTTCATATGAAACTCACAAAGAAACTGGAATACCTTAATCCTTTTATTGTTTCTGACTGAGATGAAAAATAGAGCTAAAAACTGGGACATCTGGTAACTCCACAAAAATGTATCATATACACTTTTTAAAAGTAACAAAAGTGATTAGGATGATGCTTAACTACAGAAATCTCACTCCAGATGTCAAATGTTTGTATTATAAAAAAAAAACGCAATAAAACTAACACTATAAAAAAAAACATTGCTCAAAATCCAAAGCATGGCTTAATTCTCATATAAATTGTAATAATCAGATTGTTAGTCAAGCATTATCAGAGATATTTTTCGATCAGATTTTATCAGTTGTTTTTAATAGCTCAGTCGAAGCTCCAATACCAGTTGTGGTAATACTAATACTAGTGATGGCAATGCTACAAATTAATACTTAACACCAAATGACAAAAGGGAATATTTCGACAGATTTCTTACTTAATAAATTAAAATTTAAATGATCATTACGCAATGTGACTAGTGCTATAGTATTATACTTTATAGTTAGCATTACACTACTCATATTACAATTAGCAGACTATTCTGACTTGGTTATACCGATTCAGCAACCTTGAATTTTTTTTTGTTATGCCAGCAGTATTACTGATACTAGTTAGCAGTTATTCAATGTCGTTTGTTGTACTTTACACTTTAGCACGTATTACTATTAGAACTCTGATCAGGAATAATAAAATAAATTAAGTACTCTTACTTGTTCAATTTCTTCAGTAGATGCCATCTTATTCTGTAGCTCTTTTTAATATAGTCAAAATTTAATTACTCAATTTACTGCACTTTGCCTCTTTTATTAGTTTTAAAATTTATTTCAAAAACATAAAACGCTTCCCTTTCCTTTCTAGTTTTACTTTAGCATGAAAAAAAAAGGACCTCTACCGTTCACTTAAAGTTGTAACCATCGGCATAATGCTTTTTATGTTATGAAAAAATATATAACTAAAATTGTTTGTATAATATTAGCTCTGATATTTCACGGTTGAAGACAAACTACACATTTATTTATGGTAAAGAGCAATGAATATATACATGTTCAAAAACGCTACATTGTAATGTTTTGTTTGTTTGAGAATTTCGCGCAAAACTACACAAGGGTCCCTAGTTTTGAACAGGTAGACTCGAGGGAATGCAGTAGAAGTAATTAACAATACCTACCACCAGCTCTTGAGCTACTCTAACCGAATAGTGGGATTTGACCAACATTCTTATAACAAACCCACAACTAAGAGCGGAAGGATGCGAACCATAATATTCTTCAGATTCACAGTCTGTCCACGCTGATCATTAAACTATCTCCGACCCCGTATTGTTATGTCGAAATACCCATTTCAACTTACAAAATATAAATCGTACTGAAAAACATGTTTAGATTGTTCTACCATATAAAAAACCTAAATTATACATTATTACAATATTACGAATTACTAAGAACGTCGATTTTACTGACGTAATGGAAATTCGTGAGGAAAGATAAATATGAGCCAATAGTTCTATCTTGTGCAATTTGGGTTCAGCGTTATTCACGTGAAGAACAAATATCAGGTTTTACTTGAACAATGCCGCCTTTGAAATAAGCGCCAAGTACTGACACAACCAAGATAAGGTATGTGGCACTGAATGCTCGAAAAGGAAAATTTTTTTAAATAATTTTTGCACAAAACTACACAAGGACTATCTGCATATAACTGTCCTTAATTTGAAGTGACAGATTTGAGTCATCTATACGAGAGGTTAATGTAGCGATCGATTTGGTTTGATTATTATTAAGCACAAAGCTAAACATTGGACTCTTCCCACCAATGGTATCTAAACCCGACTTTTAGCTGACTTACGGTAATCTTAAGTGAAAAGCGAAAGATTAATACGAGTTGGAGGGAAACCTGACCATTGCATACAGAGATCCTAGATACACAAACACAACATTCTTATATAATTACGCAAACAATCCCATGTTGTCAGACTTCAAAGTAGATCAATAGATTATTTTCACAAAAATTAATCATTACGAATGCTAAAAACGTTTTATCATACGAAAATTATTCTCCGAAAAAGCAGGAGAGAACATACAATTTAATCTAGAACAAAAGAGCTTCCAGGGCCCTAAGGCAAACCATGGATCCCCGCCTTAATGGGTGTACCTGTGGATCCATATACTAAAATCCACTATCAATTAATGCTGATTCCATTAATTACTAGTACTGCAAGTACGAAGTATACCTATCGCATATTCGGGTGAACTGAATTAACTTTAAAGCTATATCACACAAGTCCGCTAAAACAGAAGATTCGATCAAGATATGGTATTACAGAAAAATTATATACTTTTATTGGGAGAAGAATAAACAGACAGGTCCCAATGTGTAAAATAAAGTGAAAACAATCTTTATTTAGATGAAGACAAAAAGTCGGTCGTTTCTTCGAGATGTCTTTGATATTGGATCATCTTTCAGGCTAACTAAGTACAAAGTTTCTAGTTTCCAAAAATCTTGCATTTTCCCAGTGAGATATGAGCTCCCATATAACAAGTCATTCCCATTCCATATAGGTGAGAGGGTAACCTCTAACAGAGGTGTAGAAGGCAAATTAAATGTAAGAGACCATAGCTTTAACATTTTTTTTTTAATACTGTGTATCCAGCTGTATGTTCCCTTGTTTTGCTCTACACTGTTATGTTCAGAGAATTCAGATTTTTAACTCTACAAAACATTTTCTGGCGAGTTTCCTGTTATTCTCTGGTTGCTACCTGATTACTTTAAGGGAAACCAGTGATCCCGAGAATACCACAAGGCTGTAAAGACAGGTTCAGTTAGCATTCAGGTAACAACCTGTAATATGTTTCAATCTCTGGTTACTTGCAATGAGGAACAAGATGATTAAGAGGTGCATAGTGGGGAACTCACTCATTAAATATACTGATAGATATTGTAATGCCACTGTGGGGAGCATAAAAGGAATAGGACTAGAATTTACTCACAATTGCTCCCTTATGCTAGGTGAAGGAATGAAATACTTAGCAGGATCCAAGGCTTAAATGAAAGATTATCAGATATATACTTAGAGAAAGAGGTGGGTTGACTGGAGCTGTGGGATAATTTTCAAGGTAAGTAATTACATGGTAGAGAGGGGATCTACTTGGGCAAGTAGGCATGTTTGGGGAAGCTCTAAAAGATACTCTTTAAAGAAAGTTACTATTAATCTTGCATAGTGGTCAAAATAATGGGAAATTGGGAATAAACAAATTGATAAGCTAGCTAAGGCAGTGAAGAGCTGAAAATTTACTTAGAGCACAAGAAGTTAAATAAAGATAAGTCTGTTAGATTTAAA